TAAAATGCAATAAAAATCTCAATTTTGCTAAAAAATTCCCGGAACCTGATTTTCCTAGCAATCAACCCATATAATAATAATTTTAGAGTAAATTATTCATCGCACCGTGCGATGCATCGCCTCTAGGCAAAATTATATAATTCCGGCTAAAATTAAAACATGTGATATTTAACGCATTGTGTGAAGAATAGATTTTTAACTAAAAAATTTGTTCCCAGAAAATATATATGAAAAAATGAAGAAAGGGAGAGGTGTGACACGGATGACAAAAGAGAGGCACGGTGCGATGAATAAATTATTTTTTAAATATATGATGTATTTAAAATAGTAATTTCATAAATTTAGCATTAAATTAGCAATTACATAAGTCTTTCTTTATTACAACACGTAATTTTATATCAACTAAGAAAGTTGAGAGTACATTTGATTGTTTCTCCTTTTGAGTTTTTCGAAAAAATTTTCAAATTTAAATTTATAAAAAACAATTGCATATAAATAACTTTTTTTTTTTTAAAAAAAAAAAACCAACCCTTTAATAATTTAATTTTAATTGATAAATTAAATGAAAAATAAACTAAAATAAACTAATTTGTACATATTATAAATATTATTATTATAATAAATTATATAAAAATTATGTAGATTAAACCATTGTCCTTAATTTTTAATGTTTCTTTTTTCGAAAACTAAATTTAGATTTATCGCTTTGACCAGAAAGTTTACCAAAAATAACCGAAGTTCTTTTACCATGTTTCGTATAACCATTACTACCGCTACTACCGCTACTACTGTTACTTCCAACACTTCCACTACTTCGACTTTCTTTGGATGATGGAGAAAAATCTAATTTAATATGTAATTGAGCATTCGTTCCTCTTGATAAATTTACCCAAAAATCTTTAATATTTTCATCAGGATTTATATGATCCCATAAATGCAAATCGTATTCTCCTAATTCTACATTTTTTGATAATAAATTACGATCTCGAACGCTAAATAAGAACGATATTGGTGATCCTGTTAATCCCGTTAATGTTACTTGTTCGTTCCTATATTATTTGAAAAGGAAAGTTATTTAAAGAGAATTATATAATATACATTGAAATGATGATAAAAAATACATACCATTTTGGAGAAATGGATTTCTTTATTACAGATGTTTTAAGAATTTCTTTTTTACCATTTACTTTCACTTTTACATAAGGATCACTTGTTGTACCCTTATCACTAACATTCTTCGCTTCGATTACAACTATTGTCAAGTCTCCAGGTTCACCAATAATTTCTATAATAAAAAAAAAAAAATTGAAAAGTGATTAACAATAAATAATTTCAATGATGTTAAATACATACCACCACCCTGGTTTATGCTATATGAAGATATTCTTTTTGATTTATCAATCGGTGCTATAATGAAAAAATAAATTATTAAGTTATTTAAAATAAGTAAGGTATGGATTAAATGTTTTATAGCATACCATTTTCTTCGCTTGATCTAAAACCTTCATCGTCTTTCTTAACATTCTTAACTTCAACAGATCTTGATGTTGGTTGATCTACAAATTCAATGTGTCTTGATGTTCTGGAACTTTCTTTTTCCTCCTCTTGTTTTGGTACTACTTCTTGTTTAGAATCAACTTTTTTGAATTCCACATTATATGGTTTTATTTCATCAATTTCTTTCGCTTGCTTTGAATCATCTTTAGTTTGTGGTTTAGGTAATATAGGTTCTTCTTTAACCTCTTGTTTGTCAAGAATTCCATTGATTTCATTAACTGGTTTTGCTTCCTCAGGTTTATGAACAACTTCAGCTTTAGGTTCAACTCCCTTAGAAATCCCTTCTTCGGGAACAACTTTTTCCAATTTAGATCCCTCCGGAATAACAACTTCACTCACTTCCCTAGGAATCACCTTTTCCTTCTTACTCTTTTTATTTTCATCTTTATCTTTTTTTTTCAATAACCCACCAACTTTACCAACACTATTTCCAACGATATGACCTACACCATTAACCCCAGTACTAACTCCGCCACTAACGGTACTACCTAAATCACTAAAAGTTTTCGTTGGGCCCGTCTTTTGTTTCTTTTTAGTTAACATTTCTGGATGAAATAACATCGATAATGTAATAAATGAGTTCGTTTTTGTGGAATTAATTTCGTTCTTTAACGGAACTTTTTGAGTAGATGTGGTGGAGGATAAATTTGTGAGTGGAATTTCTCCACTTGCTATTAATTTTGCTGATTCTACTTTATTCCAATCGTATACCTTTACAAAGAGTTTCGCTGAAGTTTGTGAAAACTAGATATAAAAGGGTTATAAAAAATTTTAATGAATAAGAGTGGTTATGATGGGGATGACAAAATCAAAGCAATACATTACCAATGATACTGAAAAGTTTTCATCATAATGTGGGTTCACTGTTTTCTTTAATGTCTTTGATTCAAAAACGACTTTATCGTTCAAAAAGAATTTTACAAATGGATCACTTGTACCTAAAGAATTATTTTATATCTAATTAATGAAATTATACCTGGGTGGTGAATTTTTTTTATCATTAAATCAGCTTACCAGATCGGTCCGCTGCGGGTAAATTCTCGGCGTTAACCAAATTAATTTTTAAAGTTCCCATATCTAATAATACAAAAACGTTTGTCATTTGTTCCAGCGAAAAAAAATTATTCCACAAATTATATTGTACTCACTATTAATACTCTCATATAATTCAACATGATATCTAACAGGTATATAACTTAATCCAACATTAAGTTTACAACCGTCCATTCCTTTTATAGGTAACCAGACATTATTTTCTTTATCTTTTAAACACTTTTCCAGCAATTCTTTCACATTAGATTCAACTTTTCCAATAGATGACTTTGAACCAGAATGCTTTATATTGAATGTTATTTTAGAGAAATCTAGCTCTTTAATAAATACGTCGGTAACTATGATTAAAGAGAATTTCTTTTCGTTAGTTTTCGAACATGGTCACGTGACTCAGCAAAAAAGTCGTCGCCTACCTTCAACCCATTGCGGGTTTTCCATTTCAGAAACGGCTGATTTATAAACTGGAAAAAGGTCATTGTTTATGAGTATTTCAACACGCGATTTCTTTGTCTTGAATTTTGCTTCATTAATATTTACAACCAAAATTCCGGATTCTTTTTCGATGTTAAAAGAAGATTACTTAGTATCCAATTTTCATTAAAAATCATTTCAAGTGAAATCAATAAAAATACACTCACGATGTTCCAACGCGTTGAATTCATTTTCTGACTTTTCCTCCTTGACGTCTCCTTTCTCTTTAATTAGATGTAAAACGGGATGAAAACTTGCAGAATAAAATAATGTTCCTTTTGAATCGATTCCAGATATCAATGGCGCAGAACTATTAAATAGTAATTCTAGTTAGTAAAATTTTTTCCTCCCCAAAAAAAATTTTCCCAACACTCACGTGTCAATCGATTCGGCAGGTGAAATCTTTCCATCATCAGATTTTTTGACTAGGTCCTTTACCATTAATTCGGTAAACCCTAATATTCGATCTTTACCATTATTTTCATGATCAAAACATTGCAAATATATCTTATCTTCGAGAGAATGTACAGGAACGTAATAGTATTCGTCATCCCATGTTGGATTTAAATTGTTACTTCGTATGTCCGTACGGCCTCTATAAGTGGTGTTTAACAAGATACTCACATACGGATCCGATTTGCCTAGATTGCACATGAGTTGTTTTTACGGACACGCGAATGATTATTTTAAGTCGTTGCGCCCACGGAAGAAAGTCTTAAACATCGCGTCCCGTCACATACCTGTGAACTGCGCCGCATTTTTGTTGATTTTCGCTTTCTTGATCTGAAGTTTAACAATACCAATTGGCTCAACTGCGAAAGAAACAAAAAAAATTTTTTCAATTTAACATTTAACAACATCAAACATTTATACAGATAAATCAATACGATGCGACATGAATTGGAGATAATAAATAATAATTTTTATATACTATATATATATACACGTTTCGTTTCTTGGGGGGTTTTTTTTTTTAAAAAAAAAGTAAAAAAAAAAATCTCTCTCATGTATGAAAATATATATATATATATCGTATATATATTACATACCATATCCACCATTCTCTGGAATATGATCAAGTATAACCGGTTTCCATTGACAACTTAATTTAATTCTACCACTAGAAGCATCCTTAACATTAAACCAATCATTTTTGGTTTCACCGTTTAATACTCCTAGAAATTCATCAACTTTCATATTCCAACTACCAAGTACGGGATCTTCTGCAAAATCCCTTTCATCTCTGATTTTTACCGATAATCTTGCACCCGCTCTATTTGTTATAAACATCTCATAGAATTCCTGTAAAAAAAAAAAAAAAAAAAAAAAAAGGAGAGTTAAAGACTCGTATAATGATTTATTATATTATTTTTATTTTATATTATATTATGTTCTCACCTCCCAAATCGGATTGTTAATTCTCCTAAGTGTTTTTGTTCTATATACCAACTTTCCATTCAAAATAATTTCGGCATATGGATTATATACTCCAACTAACGATAATCTTGGATCGAGATCCTTTGCTTGATGAATATTAAATTTCAAAATTCCGAGATCTATTAACGAAAGGGCAAAATAGTTTTAAAATTATCAAATGTAAGGTCGTTTAAAAGCCATGAGAAAGTGTAAAAGGAACTTACTTGATTCGGGCGCAGGCTCATTTTCTTTAACCTCGGCTATCGGATACCAAAATGCGTCAAAATTCAGTTCTCCTTTTGGATTTCCTTCATGTAAAACTTGAACGGTACTATAAAATATTAACCGAACAACGCACACGATTATTAACGTTTAAACTTAAAAATTCAAAGCACTCACATGAGCTCTTTTAGGCCCACCTGTTGGAATGATTAGGGTTTTCAACTAAACTTTGCAAGAGGAAAGTAGTGCTACCAAGTAACCGATCAGCGCTAATCTTACTATTAGAATCGAATATATTGAACTTTAAAATATCTTTTGTATTATTAAGTAACAAATAATAAGTTTCATTCCAAACTGGATTTAATGAATTGTTGATAACTTTTGTACGTGATATTTCTTTTTCGGCTATCGTGACGTCAGATGATTGCACCATTACTTTACAATACGGGTCCGATGTACCACCAAACCTTTCGGCGTTTCTTAGATTTTTGGCGCTCTTGATGGTTAATTTCAATACTCCTATTGCTGACTCTATTGGGTAACCGTATAATAAATATTCCGGTATCAATGTAAAGACATTTGGATAGTACATCATTGGTCGGAGCGTTGCATGTACTTGTTCCCTAATAAACGACGACAATCCGGGAATCTAAATTGGGGTGAAAAAAGGGGAAAGGATTTAGTAACGGTCTTTCATTTTCACTTTCTCTTCAAGAGGAAACTCACATTGCCAATATCAAATCCAAGGGTGTCACCTCCAATTGGTTTTAATACATAATTAATGACCGGTGGTTCGATAAAACATAAGTCGATTGTTTCAACATGAGGAAACGTTGGAATTAACTTCAATTTTACCCTCATTAATCCCGTGAATGACATATTTTCTACCAAAACTGGCATTCCCGCTCCCACGAATCCCCTTCCTACTCTTATAGTTAACACCACTTTAGGATTAACCTTGTTTGCCAATTGTGCTTTTGTCATATTTGCCAAATCATTTGGCACAAAACTAATTTTCCAGTCCATAACCTACATAATAACGAAAAAAAAAAAAAGATGGCATTTAATTGTATGCTAAAGACTTTTTTTAAAAAAATGGAACGGCATCGTTTGACAATTTTTTTACGTACCACCTCATTATCGTCAGTTTTCGGGTAAGATTTTACAGATTCGATTACGGCGGGTTTTGAACCCAGAGTAAAATTTGTTAATCTTATAGAATCCAAAAAGTTTGGCGTAGAAGCAACCAAAACACTATCAGCTATTTGAATTACCGAGGCCGATAACACTGGTTCATAGATTAACCAAAATCTACGTAAAAATTCATTTAACCATTCAACCTTTTCTTCTTCATCCTCCAACCTTTTTGTTGCAACTTCTCTACCAATATCACTTCGAGCGTTTCTATAAAATCTCCTTGAAGAATTCTTCAAATACGTGGCTACAATGAAATCAAAAATAGGTAAAGACAAAGAAATTTTTCGAACGATGATGTTGTGCAATCAAATGCATACCTATAAATGCGCATAGAACAAGGATCCAACCAAAACTTCCACCGCATGATGCAATCAGCCAAGTCGCAAATGTAGATGTTATAACAACACTCGAATATAGCCACAAGTCGTTACATTGCAACTCTTTTAAAACGTCTTCAATTTGAAATGATTTATTGGAGTCGGTAATTTCGAAAACTCTCTTCCATCCAATTTTTTCCCAATTAGGAATTTCTGCTGCGGATTCGACGGCTAAATGAGGCTTGTTGCCTTCGGGCTTTTCTACCGTTGTGGTCACTCCTTCAGAATCAACAACTTTTTCTTCCGCATTATCGGAAACTACGGCTTTAATTGAACTTGAACCTGTCAAACCAATTGATGCACCAATCGACCTGGCCTTTTCTGTTGGGGATGCATTTTCGTTTAATTCGTAAACCGGAGTATCGGAAGCTTTAAGGATTTGGTTTATTTCCGATTTCATTTCTTGTGACATTTTTTTTTTTTTTTAAAGATTTTGAAAAAGGAAGATAAAAACGAGGTTTTAAATTTTTACCAAAAATTTTTAAGGTTAATCATACATATAAATTTTTAAGTTGGGACGGGGGAAAAATTGGGAAAATGAGCGGAGGTCAAAGCCCAAAATATAATATTTTATTTAAAAAAGGTTTATTTGATTATTATTTATTTATATTTTTGTACAATACGAGTACAAAAACCTCAAGTGGTGAGCCAATTACTGTTAATATGATGTTTAATAAATAGAACGTGAGAATTACGAATATTTTTTAATATTTTTTGACGTACCATTCCGAATACAATCTAATGAAAGAGGAAACGTTAAGCCCTCTTTAAATAACATCATAAAAATATTAGGTTAATCAAAACTCCGGAACAATTTAAAAAGTTATGTGTTTGTTCATCATGAAATAAATCGACTGAAACCTAAACGAACATCATTTTTATTATGTAAGATGATACATTTATGATAAATTAAAATAAATTTAACATTGTTTAAAAAAAAGTTAACCTTACCTGATTTCGGACATACAAAATTCTTTTCAGAACGCTCAGGCAAATGATTTTATTTTTTTAGCCCCATTCTCAACTCATGGTATGTGATGAGGCAGGCTGAAACGGATGATTTCTCGATTTGGGACGTCAATCCATCTTGGATCGACGATTTCATAGAAGATATGGTCACCTATTGAAAGTTGACTAACTTGGGAAATGGAATTTCGACACGTGATTGCGAAGAAATATCAGGTCACTACCAAATTTGTACAGATGATCCGATCCCATTATGTACAATGAGGGAATGGGATTTTTATATAAGAAATCTTTTAACAAAAGATCAACACGAGACATTTTTGATACGACTAATACTGTTTTGACCAGAATTATCGATTTTAAAACGTTTATAATTCGTTACAAATTGTAGGTGCATGAACAAGTCAAGATAGGAAAGCATTTGATTGGCAACATGATGTGTCAAAAGATGAAATTGACAGATGACTTTCGGCAAGACATTTATCAGGTATCGTGCCGAAATGTAATTTCGGCAGGAGATCTCTGGTAACATAATTGTACAAAGTATCTGATCTTTAATGTAAATCAACTTGTAATCAAATCAGAGAGAAAATTATTAATAACGGCAACGGAGTGAGGCAAAAAAAAAAAATATCAGTTAAGAAATCCAAAGATTGGATAAGGGGTAATACCCCATGCTGTTGAACAAATAAATAATTATTCTCATTTATTTTTATGTACACAAATTGTATTCCATTGTTTTTTTTTTACAAATTGTAATTTGGTACGTGCAAACGTAAACGAAATATTACTCAAAATCTGTTTGAATGCAAGTTGATTTATCCAATGACATTATTTTTTATATGTCTTGTCAAAAATTAACCGACCGTTATTTGTTTACCACGTGATGACTAATATTTTTGAACCAATCTTTGACGGGATTTTAGACAAATCATACATGAAAAAATATAACCAATGACGGACAATTTTTATCAAAAAAAAATCCTTTCGCTAAAAGGAGAGGATGGTTCCTTGCTTGAAATCACGTGCAAGGTTTGGAGATCTTTAAAAATCCATCGTATTTGCCACATTATTTTGAGGGGACAACACATCACTTTGCTTCATTAATGAACTTTATCAATTATATTAGTAAACAAATTATTATACGATTTGGTATCCAAATCTCCGACTATTTGTTAAATCTTTTAATATTTTGAACAGATACTTTGCATATATTTTTGCAAGAGTCTCTTGGTTCATTTTGGCGCCAATAGGTAGTGCCTTTTCAATACTTGATTGTGCAGGCATACATCAATAAACCGGACAACGAGTTCATTGCGTAATTCTTTCTCAATCGGAAGAAAGAGACAAACAAAACTTCACCAAGGGAGAGAGAGAGTAATTTAAATAATTCATTACAGAATTTTTGAAAAGATTTATCATTATAGAAATCTTTTTTTTTTTTTTTTTCTTTTCCTCTTTTCCATTTTTTTTCATTATTTACAAATGTAACGTTTAACGTTTATGTTTTATGTAAGATGGCGTAAGAGTGATGGATTTTTTTTTGAGACGTCAAAGCATATTGGCTGAAAGTCTTGCATGCTCCTTGCATGCATTAACTCAATATTAACCCGTTTTTTTTTTGAATGATGATGATGGACAAATCAATTCTTTTGAATGAATGTAAATGCAGGGACATTCAAAGATTTTTTAAATTTATTTATTGCATGCTTAATATTGTTGAATGGAAAAGAATATAAATTTTGAATAAAATAAACCCATCCAAAAAATTCAATCTAGGCCTGTTATTTTAATTTCATCCCGCCAAAAATAAAATTTTTAATTTTTAATAAATTTGTTTAAATTACCATTATGTATTGGTCTCATTCATACTGATCCAAGGCCGCTTACATGATCGACGGCGACTTGCATATTGAGCGCGAAAAAATCAATTTAAACAGAATGTATATGCATTACCCACTTATTTGTCGCGTGCATTTTCAACTTTTTTTCTCTCTGATTTGAAAGAAAGTAAAAAGTTCATGTCCCTTTTAAGTTGATCGTGCTCAGACTAACATCTAATCATCCCCCAAGTTCTGAGTATATTAATGAAAAGTTTAGGTAAGACTAACATTTTTTTTTTTTTTAAAAAAAAATAAACATCAAAAACAATTGTCAATTTAATAATAATATAAAAAAAAATATATATATATAAATAAAGGATGTTTCGAAGAAAAATGATCTTTGTGGTTAAAAATGTATAAAGAATGGTAGATTATTACCTTTAAACGTATCCCCTCCACCAAGTATTACATTATAAAAGTCGTTTGTCTCATAAAACTCATCTCTTTCTTGTACTTCTTCTTTTTCCCTTTTTTTTTTTCAACTTTACTCGAAAATCCCATTCATATTACCGTAATTAACGTAGTCTACGAAATGACAAATATGAAAACCAACATGAGTAATAAGGAACCAAAATCCACAAATAACGTACATCATCCGCTTCTAATTAATTCTGCAGAGAATCCAAACGAAGATGGATTTGACGAATACATACTTGATACATTTCGTTACATTGGTGGCAGGAGATATCATAATGTCATCGATTCAAAGTATTACTTACCAAACGATTTAACCGAAATAGATCGTTTGGAAAAACAACACTATCTTTTTCGTCATATTTGGCAAGGTAATTTTTCTGCTCCTGTACATGAAAATTTACGAAAAAAAGAAAATCATGCTTGCGTTCTTGATATTGGGTAAGTTGATTGATATGTTGTCTATGTTGTTTATGTTTGTTGATGTTGCTTTCCTTTCTCTCCAAGGATCATGTTGTGACAGCATCGTCGTTCACGTGACTTTTCGCGCTTACCCCTTTTTCTTCTTTTCGCTCTCCAGATGCGGTCCAGGAACTTGGGTAACCGAGATGGCATATGAATATCCTTCTGCTGTATTTGTGGGAGTTGACATCTCACCTATCTTTCCATCAGATCAGAAAAAACCTGAAAATGCAACCTTCCTTCAAAATATGTTGGATGGCCTCCCGTTCGAAGATGATACATTCGATTTCGTTTATCAACGTTTTCTTGCTTCGGCAATCTCAGAGGAACAATGGAAAGGTGAAGTGATTTACGAATTATACCGCGTAACAAAACCAGGTGGTTGGGTCGAATTAATGTATGTAGAATAATAATTTTATTATCACATTCTTTAAATTCTTTTATTTATCTTTTTTTTTATTTCCTCATAGGGAAGCCGACTTTTTTTCACCAGAAGAACATGAGGCACCGATTTGCCATAAATTCTATCGAGCACGTAGGTTACATACGAATTTTATGTATAAAGTTAATTCCTCTTGTATATTTTAATCTAATAAACATTTTTAAACTTTTTAATATAGTAATTAATTTCCTTGCTAGTCTAGGGATTAATGGCTTTATTAGTTCTCAACTTGAAAAGATTTTAACGAGTACTAAGTTATTTAAAAATATTCATTGCGAAGAACGTTCAACGCCAATTGGGCAATGGGGTGGTAGACTCGGAGAAATTGTAAATTTTTTTTTATTTAAGAAAAATCTTTTTTTTTAAAAGAAATGGTTTTATAAAATTAAATTGCAAATAATTTATTTAGATGTGCAATGACATGATCGATGGCGCCGAAGCTTGTAAACCCACCTTATCACAATTTATGGGTATTTCACATGAGGAATTTGATTCCATGTTGGAAGCCATCCGTATAGAAGTTAATCAAGGACGATTTTATTCTAAGACCCATAGGTAAAGTCGAGGTTTTCTTTTTTAACCGTAATTTCAAATTAACATTTTCGTCATTCCTTATTATTTATTTATTATTTGTTTAGATTCTATGCCCAAAAAATTTAAAGGCCTAATTCATGATTAAATTAATAATTATTTTTATTATTATTATTATTACTATTTAGTATTATTTAAACAAAAAAAGAAACTTATACGAGTTTTTAAAATTTCTAAGATTAAGCCCTAAAGAAAAAATTTATATTTTATTAAACTACGTTATTAGGCTACATACATCGATATTTTTAAGATTATGCTCTACATAAAAAAAAAAAAAGAAAAAAAAAAAAGAAAAGGTAAAAAAAAAAAAAAAAAACCTATAAATTTTTTATTTTTATTATTCTATTAGGAGATATATATTATAAATATATATATATAAAAAGCATATATTTTTATATCAAATGTAACAAATTTTCTACGCTGTGCGTATATAAATAAATTTTCAATCAATTTTTATGTAATTATTATCTTAATTAGTCCGGGACGAAGTGAAGTCTATATATTTCTATGCAAAGTGTCCTGATGTTCAAATAATTGAGTCGATGCTGATTGGCTTTGTAATTGCACAAAAGTCTAGATAAAGCAAATACCAGTGTTTAATTAAGATCGTTCCGGACTTATCAACGGTTAAATTATTTTATTATTCATCTTTAT